CGCCCCCCCCCGCGACGTCCCCGTCGGCGGGGGTTCCCGGAAATCCTCCGCCGCCGCCAAACGCGCTCGCTCCTCCGTCGCAACCGCAACCGCTGCGGCGACCTCGTCTTCGTCGTCCTCGTCCTGTTCTTCCTCTATTTTCACCACCACCACGACAACCCATGGACCCGAACCAGTTCCTGGACTCGGACCTGGACCCGGTGACGTGGCGGTGGAGGCGAAAGACGGAGATTTCGTCTCAGGGTATGGAAGCTTCGCGTCTCTGTTGAGTGGGCAAAGCAACGACGGGACGTTTTTGGCGTTGGGGAGCGGAACCGGGCTCGGGCACGGGTTCGGATACGGGTTTGAGGAAATGGGTATTGGGTATCCGGGTTATTTCGGGGGCGGAGGACCAACGGTTCCGGCGACGGTTGGTAGCAGCGGCGGAGACACGTGGCAGGTGGGTGAGATGGAAGTTAACGGTGGGGACAGTTTCGTGTGGCCTGGTCTTGAGATCTCCATGCACGGCAACAATGTCAAGTGAAACTATGAAACCATTTTTTTTTCTCTAGTTTTTTTTTTTATATAGTTTCTGGGTATCTCTGTTTTGTCTTTGTCTTCTTGCTCTGTCATATCGTCTCTCTCTGTTTCATCAGTTTTTTTTTTTGTTCCTCTGATACTTTGGTTTTTTTTTTTTGTCTTCTTATGATGTAATTAGTGTGCTGTGTCTTTTTTCCTTCTTCAAAGTTACAACAATGGTGTTCTGTAAATATCCTGTGCCTGCGACGAACATATTGATCGAAATACGAAGGAAATATGCGAAATGTGAATCAGATTCATCACAACAAAATCGCTACGATATGAGCTGCATCTTGAAATTTCAAGAATTAATATTATTATACGTCTAATACAATTTTTACTTTTGGATTTTACTATTCCATTAGACATTTTAATAGATAAATACCTATTAATATGTTGAAATTGTGTAAACCGAAGTACATTATCTCTTTATACAAATTGGATTATTATTTCCAAGACCCTATAAAAATAAACAGTAAAAAATTGTTTAACAAAAAAAAAAAACTGAAATGTGCTCACAGTTGTTTTTTTTTTTTTACCAGGAGGTTAACTAGACCACCATCTTCTAGTGTATGAGTTAGATTTTTATTTATTTATTTCATTCTACTAATTCGTAAGAATTATATAAATGATATCTTATTGTGTTTTGTTTTTCAACAAATCCTTAGTAATCTAACATTATGCAACAATAATTAATCACTCCTAAAAACTAAAATATAGCTCCAATTGTTTAACTACCCATGATTGAAAAATAAAAGTTAATTCCAATTATTTTCGAAATTGTTCTAAAATATTTCTATTATTATTATTATTTGCGGAGAAAATGAGCCATTAGAGACCTACGGAGAATACAAGAATATCATTTATAATTAAAAAATAGTTTGTTGTAGTAATAGATATCTCGTGAAGACAAAAGCGTTTCATGGTGATAATGATGTCCTAAGCGTTTTGGAAACATGTTTATCGTGAATATAAGTGCCATATTGTGACTATGTCGGGAAATTCCGGGGAAATCTGTATCATTGGAATGGAACGAAAATACATACAATTTAAAATAGAAAATTATATTGCCAACATTAAAACGTTTGGGAATACGAATTTAAACTCGATCACCACGTAATTTTTTCTTAACACTTAAAAAGTTAAAAGTATCAAAATTTCGTAAATAATGGAGATTTTTCTACATAAACACATTAATTATTTACAAATTTATATAAACATATAAACTTTTAAAATATTACCCAACTATTGTAAAAACAGTAATTTCGTTAAAATATATCATTTTTATCTAAAATTGTAGAATATCAATATGTTAGCTGTTATTAGTTCATTAATACTATTTTCAAAATATTTAAATTTTCTTTTATCATTGTTTAATGTTTCACTATCTTAACGGGAGTTTCGTAACAGTTTAAAAAATATATATATATATTTGTATATAGGTTTTTTTAAAATATATATGTATTTGCTATGGAAAAATGAGTGTATGTTTATCTATGCAATAAAAAACTATGAAAGGTCCGTCTTCATCCGCAATAACATTAAAATTCGTTTACCGATATGAGTGAGGGTAATGGTGGTCCATTGGAAATTGATTTGGGTGTATTGTATGCATCTCTTCTTATTATTCGTTTGGGTGTGTACGGAATTTTAATACATATTGGCTTTGAGAAATACTCCTTGTAGTCATTCAGCCACCAAATCTCATGCACTGAGTGTCTCTGATTCGTTGGTTATATATATACACATATTTCTTCTATTATATCGAATTAGTTTTACAAATCCCATGTTGTACCGTATTCTCGACGATAGAATAAGTTTTCGATTGTATAAAAACTATAACTATTCGGTTTTATATTAACTTTGAATCGGTTGTATTCGGTTTTATTTCAATTTGATTTAATTCATATTCATTTTTTATTAATAAAAAACTCATTTTTTTTAATAAAAATAATCAGTTAATCGAATAGTTGAATCGAATTGAATAAAATATAACCATAATTAAATATAAAAAACCGAACGTCTATAATTTATCTAAATACGATTCATCAATATAAATAAAAATCGAATATATTCTCAGATCGGATCATATATCCGATTTTCAAATATATTTTACCCAATCCTATTAATCGGGAAACTTAACATGCGTCTTGCTTGTCATGGCATTTCAAACGCAAACATAAACCCAAAACAGTGTTATATATATATATATATATATGTCATAACCGGAATATAGTGATACAGGAAAATACTACAAAAATATATTAGAATTGGGAAATCGGAATAATAATAATAATAATAATAACCTAAAATAAAGAAACAAAATTATGAAATTAGGAAGGAGAATGATGAAGAATTCAAAGTTAATTCCCCCAAATCGCTCCGTGCCTGCCCGCTCTGTTAGCAATCATGCATTTCCATTTTCTTTTTCTTTATAAATCATTTTTAGCTGTTTATTGATATTATTTAAGGATTATATTCGGTTTAATTAATATATATATATGTAACATTTAATGATTTATTTATATTATACTATAGTTGTAATGATTTGGTTTGATTCAAATGTGTTTTGAGACGCTGATTGATCGTTTGTATTTTACGAAATATATTAGACAATACGATCGTTAGTTTAAATTGATTTTGTACCATTTGCACACACATATATATCCGATATTTTCCACTAAATGAAATATACAAGAAAAATATTATATCGAATTCGATTTGAATCTTTTATATATTATAAAGGGTTTTTTTATTATCGATCAATTGATTTGCTTTTCCAACTTCGTATTGGAAGTAAATCATAGGGAATGAAATGAAATTAAATTAAATTTGATATATTTGAAAAGCTGAGGAGGTAGGTAGTCTTTAGCCTCCAAAGGAATGTAAAATAAACATAGGAAGTGGGTGTGATTGACCTATAATAGTCAAGTTCAATGCCATCATGAGATATTGAGGATGGTTATAATGAGGAATTCCAAAAAAAAATTAAATTTGATTTTTATTTTTATATGTAATCCTAAGGTCATGTTTATAATGGTCAACCACCCAACATTTTATCTTTATGAATAATTACACAACTATAATGGCATGGCCCAATTTTGGCTTCTCGCATCATTACTTTTGAGCATGTGTGCTCTGATTTCTCTCTAGCTCATTCCTGGCTACAATAACACTTTCTATTCCTCTCGTTTTTCTATTTTTTTTAATGTCATTATCATTAAAAAAAAACATTTTTAATTGCACACATATATATATATATATACACACACTTATATTTAAAAATGAAAAAAAAAAATAGAACCACACCACACCATGTACAAATTAAAGCTGTCATGGGATAGTTTAATCTACTTTAAGTCAAAGTTTTATGGCTAATAGTGTAGTTGCCATGAAAATATTGTGTAAATATGGCAACAGTATTAATAAGTTTCATGTTAATTCAATAGATTTTTAAAATATAAATAGAACTTTTAAATAAATTTTCGCCTCATGATCGAATCCCACATGGACACGTGGAACTTTCTTCATACCAAAAGTAAAAATTGTATATCAATATATATTTTTTTTATATTTTTTTTAATATACTAGAGTTTTTTCGAACTCTTTTTACTATAAGAGTATTGTCATCAGAATCTTAATTACTATCGGTTAGTTTTTTCGATCATTTTGATGCACTTTAAAGATGTTGATATTAGTAAATTCTCTTTAAAAATCTGATTTGATATCGAATTTGAAAATTTCTATTGTTACGCTTCAACCCATGAAAATAGATTTCGAATCTAATTAGCCAAATTCAAATAGATATTAAAATTTTTCTGGGATTATTTTAATTTGTTACCCATCATCACCTTACTCATATCTCAGATACAAGAAAAAAGTAAAAATAATATTTATCTCTCTAAACCCCAACACTATGATGTAAAAAACTCTACCATACAGTGACACATTCATTGAACAATATATATATATATATATATATATATATGCCCAAGTTCCTCAAAAGAACAGTGTCTCAAAAAAAAAATTCATATTCCAAAAAAAAAAAAAACACAAGTTTAACCCCCAAAAAAAAAAAAAAAGAAACACGACTCTAAATTCAACTCAGTAGCAAACAAAACATTAGAAAGATCTCTTACAACCCAACGAACACAAATACAAATCCCCAGACTCAAAAACTGTGAGATGATTAGCTTGGCTTGAAGAACTTGAGCTTGAGTCCGTTAGTAACCATACTCCAAATGCCACCGATGGAGAACGCAAGGCTGAATCCAACCCCCAGCCATCCCAATCCCCAGTGGAAGTACCAGTTGAAGCTGTATTTCGCCGGTCTCTTTATCAGGGCCCACATGAAGCACGGGTACGCGAACGTCACCGGCAGGGTGAGCCCCCCGAGCAGCCCCGCTAGGCTCGAGAGGAACGGGAGGGCTACCCCGATGAAGAACGACACGAACCCGTAAAAGACTCGGAATCCCGACCTCACCCATATCGAGCACGGCCGGTTCGTCCTGCTGGTGTACCCCGCCTCAAAGCTGTCGAACGCTGGCATTGAGTATATCTGAAAGCTGCTTAGGCAGTTGAACACGACCAGCAGAAACGCCATCGCCAGGAGGCCTCTCGGGATGTCGTGGATGTGGAAGGCGTACAGGGCGGTGAGCATACCTCCCGAGGGCATCTACACGCAAACGTACATGAATGTGTAAGCCGGGCTGATTAGAGAAGGACGGAAAAGAGGGCGATTGACAAGGTACGGCACTTACAAGATTCCCGTACGCCCAAAAGCCGCCGATAGCTATGGGGAAGAGGCACAACGCGATGAAAATGTACGCAACTTTGGCTCCTTTCCACATCGGTACGTGAGCAGGATGCTTGAACGTCGATGGCATTGTCGCCTAACCGTTTCCAAAACCCATCACCGGTTAATATTAGGCAAGCAAAGATCATTCATCATATACAACACAAGAAGAACAATCAATGCCTTTTTACCTGAATTTCCAAGACCAGGTTGTGGCCTCTGAAGGCGAAAGCTACGATACCGAGGGCGTTAAGAACCGAGAAGAGTGAAGCAGAAGCAGAAGGTAAAGAAAGAGGCTCGTACGAGATGGAGGGCGGCCTCGGTTGGCTCACAGAGAGAACCCAAACCATCGTTGAGTAAGTTATCGCGGTCACGGCTCCGATCAAGGAGAGTCCAGCTATTGAATTGAGGTTCGGGAGCTGAGAGAGGACGATGCAGAGTGACGTAAACACCAAGTACCATTCCACCGTCGTTAAAGGGTTAGACGTACAGAGTGGCCCGCAAACTATTTGGAAGAACAGTTTCATCGTCTCTCCGCCGATAAGAATCAAGGCAGTTGCAGTTCC